ATTATAAAAATAATTTATTACGTATTTAATCTGTGTATAGGTGTAATATAAATAAATTTATAAATAATTTCAAAGAAGATGATGTTATAAAAACAATTTTTTATATTATTTTTTGATATAATTTTCATATGTCATTAAATAAGTTGTTGTATTCAATATTATGAGTTCTACATAAATTAAAAAAATTAATTATTTAAATGATACGTCAAATTATATCAAAAAATAATACAAAAAATTTATCTCAAAATCATTCTCCTTTAAAAGATTTCTCTAAGAAATTACCACTTTCTTTCGGCCATTAAGAAATTACCACTTGGAAATAGAGATAAGTGGTGCTCATAATGCATGTCTATGTCATCTACTGGAATGTTCATGGACATGGAGAAAAATCGTATTGCGTGTTCTTTATTTTTTAACATATTTGCGTATAAATAATTTTAATATTATTATTAATATAAGATTATATGTCTTTTTGGGGTGTATTTTATCTAAGAGACGAAGCATAGAAGGAGAACTTTTTATACAATCAAATTAAGACATTATTGAGCTAAACTTTTAATTTGATTAGATAAAAAAATTTTCCTCCTCTCTTCTTTATTTCCTTCAATTCAATTGTACTTTTAAAGTTAAAAATATTGATCTATCTAATATTTTTAAACAAGATAATTTACAAATATCTTTAATGCAAACTGAATTAAAAGCCTAAATATCTATGTTACATGAAACCTTAGCAAATTCATAAATTAAATACAATATAATATATGAATTTAATTAATGAGTATCAATTTATATTATAAAAATTAAGAAAAAAACTATTAAAATTATGTCATTTTAATAAAATATTTAAAAAACTAAAACAATCTCATTCTTATTTTATAAATTAAAATATTTTAGGTTTTTATGAAATTTTATTTAAACAATATTGTTTTAAATATTTTTTTAATTTGAATTTTTACAATATAGACTGATATATACTTTTTCAATAATATATTATATTCAAAATTTTGCTACAACTAAACATGGCCAACTTTCTAATTTGCCAAAAGATACTGTATCTAAGTTTTTATGTTATCAATTACTTAAATAACTCAGTAATAATCTTCTTCTATTGAACATAAGAAATCATGAGTTCGAGTCGCATAACATGCCGGTTGGGTGAGACAAGAGATGAGAGAAAGTTGTCTCCTATTATACAATCAACATCAAAAAACAAAAAAAAAAGTTTTATGTCTAATGTTAGATGAGTTTAGTTTGAATGTCAGTCAAAGTGTCAAATACATCATTTAGAATCTGATCTTACATGACTATTATTATCATATAAACTACATAGTTTTTTTTTTTTATTATTTTTTTATTTTTTATTATTGTTTCACCAATAGAAACACAGAGTTGCACCTTAATTATGCCAGTAATTCCTCCAATAGTCAAATATCAACTGGTCAACTTAGAAGGTGATCATGTGAAGGTGTCCCCTCCTGTTACCACTAATTTAAGAAAATTAATAATTATGCCATCTAGTCTTTGAGTTTGCCCTTATTTTTTTTAATTTGTCCTCTGCTAAACGGTAAAAAAGTTATTATTAAATAAGGAAAGGATAATCACACATTCAAAGGCCCTCCCATACTAATGATTAAGATTGTGCACAATATTTTTCTGATAGCATTTAGAGTGCTTCAAAAGAAATGTAATTAATCCAAAGCCCCTTCCCCTTTGAGGCTTTGACTGGATTTTCTTGGTTTTCCTGCCTCTGTATTTTTAGGACCTCCCACATCCAATTGTTTGGACTTCGGAGGCTCAAGTTATACTTGTTTTAAGGCAAATGTTTACTTTTAGCCCCTCACCTTATTAAGTTTGAAGATTTTAGTTCATCACATTATATTATAACATTTTTAAATTATGTTTGGACTTCAGAGGCTCAAGCACTCTAAATGCTAACAGAATTAATATAACTAACTTAATAATATTTCGTTAATTATGTTAATTGACTATTATTTGACTATTAATTAATAAAACCTACTTTCAGCTAATAGAATTAACAGTCAAGTATAAAGTGAGGGTTAATTTCTTTGATTTTAATAGGTGAGAGGCTAAAACCTATAAATCTGGTAAAGTAATAAGCTAAAAATGTCGTAGTATAAGGTGATAAGCTAAAACCTTCAAACTTGATAAAGTAAGAGGCTAAAAGTAGGTTTTTACCAACTTTTAATTAATGGTTTCCCCAATAAAATGAGGTGAAATGGAGTGAACACAATTCAATTAACCCAAACATGGCCTTGAAGAGTGGGACGAAGGAGGGTTTTCCTTCGGCCTGGCCTGGTAGTCTGCCCATAATCTCAACCTCAGGCCCAATTTTAATATTCAAATGGATTAAGAGCCCAACGAGAGATACTGTAACTGTTTAAGAAATTAAAGAAAAAAAAAAGCAAATACATCCCACGGCCCATATCCAAAGTTATTGGATTCTATACTTAATTAAATAATATAATTATTGAAACGTAAAATTTTTAATTCTTGTTGTAGAATCCCCCGTACGGCTCAAACGATGAAACCCAGTGCCATCATTTTCATGAGGAATCATCTAAACAAAGAATTTTCAAGGAACACCAGGCGACATGAGAATAAGACCATCTACTAAAGTCCACAAAAAATGGGTAAGATTCCTCCAAGTTTAAGTCTACTCTTGAGTATCGAATTTGAGTGTCTTTCATTAATTTGGAACATTCTGTTAATCAAATCCTGCCGTGATGAAACAGTGAACATCCAACTAGATAAGATCGAAGCGGCATCCTATAGATTCTGCGGCCAAACACAAAACTACTTGCTAGTTGCATCTTTATATTGACATCCAAGACGTCAATCCAGATTGTTACAAACACAAAACTCTTCTTTATTGTTCAACTTCTTGGCTGAAAGTCCCACAAATGTGGAAGTTTTTGAGACATCCGATGCAATTGGAACGTTATGCATTGAAATAATTGTCTCTTAGGATTTGTAATTACAGTTAATTACAATTAGAAGATAAATTAACAAGAAAATATGACGTCCTTATAACATGGAAATGATGCATGGCAACTTCATTTGACAATTTCTACTGCATCTCTCTATCATTGAAACCAAAAAAAAAAAAAAAAAAAAGAGAAGGAAAAGAATCGGAAAATGAGAATAAAGATATACCCACAATAAATTTTGCTTCAATTTCTTATTTTTATCGCACTTTGTAGCATTTCAATACCTTTAT